ATTATGAAACCAAAACAACAAATCTTACAGATTTTAACAGAGAAGAATTCCAGGAGGAAAACCTCCAGAGTTTGGGGGAACCAGTAAGGCAAAGCTGACTCTACAGTTCAAGTTTCCTCTTCCTTTTGAGATTTTGTTATGTTTATTCTTACATCTACTGCCTTATCCTGTACTGAAAGGTACACTGCTCTCCTAAGATAGTGATCCAAGTACTGCCACCACCAAAATCAATTTTGGCCTTTTCCATGGCACAACTGAATCATACTGGGATTTCCCAAAGGAATTTTATTAGAAACTAAGGAAAAATACTTTCATATATTGGGGCCTAACATGTGTATAGAAAAGATGCATTTGTTTGTTTATTCATTATATCTTCAGCTATCTGTTGAGTGTCTTCGGTGTATATTATGCTCAATACTTGAGGTAAAGTCAGAGGTTATGTAACACAGTCTGTGTTCTCCACACAGAATCTAAGTGAGCAGAGAATAAAAAAAGAACCAATAACTGCATATAATGTAACAGTATACAAATTAGGTGCAATGGTGAGACAGACATGGGAGTGGCTTTCTCTACCTGGGGAGGTTGGGAAGGGCCGTAGTGGAGAGCATATTTGAGTCTGGGGAAAATGTCAGCAGTTCAGTCTGGCTAGAGCATACATGTGGAAGAGGAGACAGATAAAGAAGAGAACAGGAAGACAGACAAGGGCCCAATCTTGGAAGATGTTATATGTCATGCTAAAGAATTTAGACTTTATCTTGCATGCAGTAAGGAGATTTTTCAAGGGTAAATTTGCATTTTAGATGGTTTTCTCTGGCAGGAAAGTCCAACAAAGAGAAAGTGAAGACCTAAATATAAGCAGTGCAATTGGGAGAGGAAATGGAGGTCTCTTTAAGTAGGTACTTTAAGTGGATACTTTAAGGAGGATGAATTAGTAAGTCTTAATGACCAGTTGGATGGAGCTAAGCATGACTTATATGTTTCCAATCAGACTGACTAGCTGAATGGGAGAAGGATAATAAATGTGTAATTTCCAGTGAAAAGTGTTTTGACTATATCCTTTTTGAGATTCACATTAGAGATTAATTTTTGCCTGCAAGATATTCCTTTCAACCTTTTCTCTAAACTGGTTGATGATTGGTGTGACCTAGGATTCATGGTTAATATGAGTTACATTACGGTTTCATAAATCAAACAAAACCATTTGCAGGATAATAAATCTATTCCTACCACACCCCAGCACTTAGTGAAGATTTCCCTAAAAGTCTTTCCAGAGCTTACACCCACACAAATATGCTCTGAAAAATTATATTCAAATTCTTTCCTACCAATGTTAGCCTAATAATACATCAACTGTGTAACACATTACTTCACCAAAGATACCATAGCCAGGTTTATGCAAGTATGCTTAAATAAGACACACCATAGAGAGCTAGTCTTTCTGAATTATCAATTAGACACTTCTATGTTCTCAAGATGATTATTTCTAATGGGGAAAATCAAACCATGCAAAAAATTTTAGTTGTGTTTACCATGAGTGTGTAGATTCAGCCCATAACATGAGTCCTATGACTTCTGATCTTGAATCAAATAACTCAAATCTGATAAACAAGTGTATGTATGCTTTCATTCTATCCATCCATGCCATTTCCTTTCATTAGGAAGGTAGAAGGTAGCATATAAATAATAAACTCCCTATGAATTAGTTAGAGCCATGAATAAAAATGAGAAAATGAAGCAGTTATGAAATTCTTTGGGATTTAGAAATGATAAAATTAGGACACAAATGTTAAGATAATGTTTATTATATTCCATGCAGTGTTAAACACAATGAATATATTATTTCATTTGATACTCAAAGTGATCCTATGAGCTAAACATTATAACATCATCTTTACCCATGAAACTGCTAGGTTTAGAGAAGTTAAGTAATTCTAAGGACATAGAGCCAGTAAATGGCAGAACTGAGATTTGACTGAATAGTCAGTGGAAATCCCAAGGGTTTAGGAGATGAAGACTTGACCCTAGGTCTTTGAAAAACTAGGTCTTTCTTCTAGATTTCCAGTGGTGAATTATACCTGAGGCTAATATTAGGGAAATGAAGTCAGCCCTAGCAACCACAGCAGAGACAAAAGATATAGAGAAGATATAGAGAAGAGGTTTGCCACTTAGCATGCTTTGAGGAGTACACACACATAACAATAATATTATGGATTTTCTTCTAGGAAATCTGGCAACCAGAAATCCTGCCCACTTTTTGTACCTCTGAATGGCATATGCTAGTCCTAGATTGGGTACTAATATACAAAAAGACAATATACTTAAATATAGTGATTTCCACACATTTTGCTCACATCATCCCCAAAACTTTTGTAAAATGATCTAAAACTATATCATGCCTGTCACATTATTAAGTTCCCTTAGCATAATGTATTTTAGCCCTGAAATTTTTTCATTGATTACCTTATAATTTTTCCTTGTAGCAAACATATGTACTAGATAAATTGAAATTTCATTAGTTAAATTTTTCCCAGGTTGCACTGCTGTACAAGTTAGTAGTACAAAATGGATCAAACATGAATATATAATATGTGGGAGGTAATATACAGGCATACCTCGGAGATGTTGTGCATTTGGTTCCAGAACACAATAAAACAAATGTTTCAGTAAAGATAGTCACACAAATTTTTCAGCTTCACAGTGTATATTAAAGTTATGTTTAGAGCTGGGCATGGTGGTGCATGCTTGTAGTCCCAGTTTAGGAGTTTGAGAACAGCTTGAGCAAAAGAGCAAGACCCCATCTTAAAAACAAAGTTATATTTAAACCACACTGTAGTCTATTAAGTATGCAATAGCATTCTATATAAAAAACAATGTGCATACCTTAATTTACAAATATTTTATTATTACAAATGCTAATGATCATCTGAGCCTCAGTGAGTCATAATCTAATATCTTTGCTGGTGGATGGTGTGGCCTCAATGCTAATGGCTGCTGATTGATCAGGGTGGTGGTCGCTAGAGGTCAGAGCAGCTGTGGCAATTTCTGAAAATAAGGTAACATGAAGTTTGCCAAATCAATTGACTCTTCATTTCATGAAATATTTCTCTGTAGCATGGTATGCTGCCTGATAGCATTTTACTGACAGTATAACTTCTTTCAGAATTGGAGTCAATCCTCTCAAATTGTTCTGTTTTATCAACTAAGTTTATAAAATATTCTAAACACTTTGTTGTCATTTCAACAACATTCACAGCATCTTTACCAGGAGTAGGTTCCATCTCAAGAAATCACGTTTTTTGCTCATCTATGAGAAGCAACTTTTTTTTTTTTTTTTTGAGACAGAGTCTCACTCTGTCGCTCAGGCTGGAGTGCAGTGGTGCGATCTCGGCTCACTGCAAGTTCCGCCTCCCGAGTTCACACCATTCTCCTGCCTCAGCCTCCCAAGTAGCTGGGACTACAGGCACCCACCACTACGCCCGGCTAATTTTTTATATTTTTAGTAAAGACGGGGTTTCACTGTGTTAGCCAAGATGGTCTCGATCTCCTGACCTCGTGATCCACTGGCCTAAGCCTCCCTTAGTGCTGGGATTACAGGCGTGAGCCACCTGGCCCGGCGGAGAAGCAACTTTTAATCTGTTCAAGTTTTATCATGAGATGGCAGCAATTCAGTCACATCTTCACAGTCTACTTCTAATTATTTTCTCTTGTTATTTCTACCACATCTTCAGTTAGGTCCTCCAATGAATTCTTGAACCCCTCAAAGTCATCTGTGAATGATAAAATCAACTTCTTTCAAATTCCTGTCGATGTTGATATTTTGAACTCCACCCATAAATTATGAATGTTCTCAATGACATCTAAAATGGTGAATATTTTTGGATAGTTTTCAATTTACTTCGCCCAAATCCATCAGATGAATGTATTTATGGCAGCCATGGCCTTACAAAATGTCTTTCTTGAATAATAAGACTTGAAAGTTGAAATACTTCTTGATCTATGGGCTGAAGAATGGGTTTGTGTTAGCAGTCATGAAAACAACATTAATCTGCTTGTACATCTCCATTAGAGCTCTTGAGTGGCCAGGTGCGTTGTTAATGAGCAGTAATATTTTGACATACTTTTTATTTCTGAGCAGCATGCCTCAAGAGTGGGCTTAAAATATTTGTTAAACTATGTTATAAACAAATGCGCTATCGTTGAGGCTTTGTTTTATTTCTAGAGCATAGGCAGAGTGAATTTCACATAATTCTTAAGGGCCTTAGAATATTCAGAATGGAAAGTGAACATTGGCTTCAACTTAAAGTCATCAGCTGCATTAGCCCCTAACAAGAGAAATAGCCTGTCCTTTGAAGCTTTGAAGCCAGGCATTGACTACTTTCTAGCTATAAAAGTCCTAGATGGCACCATGTTGCGATAGAAGGCTGTTTCAACTACATTGAAAATCTGTTTGTTGATGAAGCCACCTTTATCAGTGATCTTAGCTAGATCTTTGATATGACTTGCTGCAGCTTCTATATCAGTGTTTACTGCTTTACTTTGCATTTTATGTGACGGTGACAGCTTATTTTCTTAAACCTCATGAACCAACCTCTGCTAGCTTCAGAGTTTTCTTCTGCTGCTTCCTCATCTCTCTCAGTCTTCATGGAATTGAAGACAGGACATTGCTCTGGATGGCTTAAGGGAATGTTGTGGCTGGTTTGATCTATCCAGACCACTAAAACTTTATCCATATCAGCAATAAGGTTCTTTTGCTTTCTTATCAATCATGTGTTCACTGAAGTAGCACTCTAATTTCCTTTAAGAACTTTCTTCTTTGCATTTGCAACTTGGCTCTTTCGCCTAGCCTTCAGCCTATCTTGGCTTTTAACATGCCTTTCTCACTAAGCTTAATCATAACTAGCTTTCCACTTAATGTGAAACATGAGACTTCCTTTCCCTTGAACATGTAAAGGCCACTGTAGGGTTATTAATTGACCTAATTTCAATATTTTGTGTTTCAGGGAATAGAGAGGCCCAAGAACGAAAGACAGAGGAATAACAGGTCAGTGGAGCAGTCAGAACACACACAACATTTGTGGTGCCCCCTAACAGTTACAGTAGTAATATTAAAGATCACTGATGACATGTCATCATAACAGATATAATAATAATGAAAAAGCTTGATATTATGAGAATTACCAAAACGTGACATGGAGACATACAGCGAGTACATACTGTTGGGATAATGGTGCTAACAGACATGTTTGACACAGAGTCACCACAAACCCTCAACTGGTAAAAAAAAAAAAACACACATTATCTGGGAAGGGCAGCAAAGTAGAGTGCAATAAAATGAGGTATGCCTATAATTGGATAAAATTTCAATCTTAAAAAAAGTTAATAGGACTGTTTTTCTTTATTCAAATTATTTCAGGTATCTATCACAAGTATCTCATTACTAGAATGAAGCAAGGTTCAGCATCAATATTTTTCTTACTTTTTATTTTCATACATAAAAAGCAGTGAGACATTTTATTCACACGACTAAGTAGATTGGAGTGGAAATGGAATATTATAAAAAATGTCACTCAATCTCCCTGCTTCTTTGTTAAATGTCAGCAAACACACTGGGAATTGAGTAATGGAAATCTTATTGAATGATCTGTCAACTGAAAAATTGAGTAGATCCTCCTTCAATTTTTTCTTAATCGAAGAGCTAGAAACCACCTGATTTGCAACAAATCTCCACTTACTAGTGTCTTTTGCTTTCTCAACATTAACATCAATATTTTAAAATGTTCCTTTGTTTGTCACCCACTGGGGTTTTTACACTCTGGAGAAATGAACCAAAGCAACTTTCAGATAGGTGTGGAGGGCTTCTTTCTTTTGTAAAGTGGAAGAAAAGTTCTTGTGAGGAGTAAGTGGGGGGGGGGGAAAGCCTATGCTTCATCTCACACATCTCAGACACTTTGTGGAAACTGAATATCTGAAAATTCAGTCCCTTACAGACATCTACGTGTGTGTATCCCTCAGAAAGTCTTCTCACACCATCAAGATATGTACAGCACTTTGAACACCACTGCGTCAGTGCCCTAGCTTCTATGCATGGAAATCATAGTATTTTTGGTTTTCTTAGTTGCCTTTATTCCTAAGTGATAGCTAAGTACCTAAGTAATGTGGCTTGAAAAAGCATCAGAATATTTTTCTGGATTCTAAATTACTTCCAAAGCAGCGATTCCTGAAATTCTTACCATTACTCATCTAAACGAAGCCTTTAAAATGTTTAATTGGTAGTACTGATTGGAGGAAGTAATACCTAGTGCTTACTGAGTAGGTATTATATGCCAGATACTTTTTAAGGAACTTTACATAAATTTTATTCTACTAATAACACTATAAAGTGGATATTATTAGCTTTATTTTACAGATGAGAAAACTGAAGCACAGAAAATTAAATAGCTTGCCTATGGATTAGCTAGTGGGTGGTAGAGCTGGGCTTCAAACCTAGGCAGTTTGGCTCTAAAACCTGGCACTTTCAACCTCTGTGTTAACAAGCTACCACCGTTATTCCTATCTGAACATAATTATATTTCTTTTTTTTTTTTTTAAATTTATTTATTATTATTATACTTTAAGTTGTAGGGTACATGTGCATAACGTGCAGGTTTGTTACATATCTTACAATATATGTAATACTTGTGCCATGTTGCTGGTGCTGCCCATCAACTCGTCATTTACATCAGGTATAACTCCCAATGCCAGTCCCTCCCCCTCCCCCCCTCCCCAATGATTAGCCCCGGTGATGTGATTTCCCCTTCCTGAGCTCCAAGTGATCTCATTGTTCAGTTCCCACCTATGGTGAGGAACATGCGGTTGTTTTGGTTTCTGTTTCTTGTGATAGTTTTTGCTAAGAATGATGGTTCCAGCGCATCCCATGTCCCCTACAAGGTGACACAAACTCATCCTTTTTTATGGCTGCACTAGTGATTCCCTGGTGATATATGTGCCACATTTTCTTAATCCACTCTGTCACTGATGCATTTGGGTTTGAATTCCAAAGTCTTTGCTAATTGTAGAAATAGTGTGCAATAAACATAACGTGTGCATGTGTCTTTATAGGCAGCAAATAATTTAAATCCCTTTGGGTATATACCCAGGTATCGGATGGCTGGTCCATATGGCTACATCTAGTTCTAGATCCTTGAGGAATCCGCCATAACTCGTTTTCCATAATGGTTGAACTAGTTTACAATCCCACAACCACGTGTAAAATGTTTCCTCATTCTCCCACATCCTCCTTCCAGCACTCTGTTGTTTCCCTGACTTTTTAATGATCCGCACATTCTCTAACTGGTGTAGATGGTACGTCTCATTGTGGTTTTGATTTGCATTCTCTGAATGGCCAAGATGGATGAACATTTTTTCATGTGTCCCTGTTGGCTGTATGAATGTCTTCTTTTGAGAAATGTCCTTTTCTATGCCTTTTGCCCACTTTTTGATGATGGTTGTTTGTTTTTCTTGGTAAATTTGTTTGAGCTTCTGTTGTAGGTCTGGACTATTAGCTTTGTCCAGATGAGTCCTAACGATTGCAAAAAATTTTCTCAC